GACAACAAATACAAGTTCTTTAACAGTTCTTTAAGTCACATTTTCCACTTAACCCATTTTCTTTGCATTACAACAAAAATTTCATTTGATCAGAATCATTGTTTACATATCAATTGATTCCTAAAGACGTTGATTTACTGCATTACGACATTCAAACAACAAAACAGTACCCCAACTTCAACATGGATAACATAGGTAACATTTTCCCAATTGACAGAAAATTTCGGTCATTTTAGATAATACAGGGTATGACCGCTCATTTAATTTCCACTATTGTAAAATATCTAACTTATCCACTTCATCTTCAGATATTAAACTATAATGATCAAATTGATAATATCTTTCTAATTCAGCAGGTGTGGTATGTGGAATTGCAGTTGAAGTTGAAGTAGTAGATAAAGAACCAAGAACAGTACGTTTCTTAGCTAGTATGGAGAAAAAGGAAGATTTGTCTTTAGAAGTTGTACTAGAGATNGTGTGGTGAAAACCACATAGAATTCCTATTTTCAACTTACACTTTCACTCCTTTTCCAGAGCTAGAGAAACATATGGATTCTAATACTGATATAAGTAATTCCTAACAAATCATTTCTTCTACTTTCTCACAAATTAACGAAATGTAAAAGATTATCTAAAATTCTTATGTCTACGGTCTAAGTTTGACTTAATGGAACCAAGTTACTACATCTTCTACGATTGTGACCATGACCTCCACAATTGTAATGTGTATGTTCGGCACCAGCAATGGAAATTGTGACCTGAACTCCAATCCACTCCAACACTACGAACATAATTGTACTGTGTCCGGAGATTATCACCTCCGAACTGTGACAGCTAGTCCACCATATGAAACTATGTGATCGGCGACGACGGAATCTGACTTGTGACCGGAAATCTCGTCTAATATGCCGTCAATTTTGTCCAGAATTAGAATCAGTCTGGGGATGAAGCAAAATTTGTAATTAGGGAGGTGTTTTGTTATATTATGAAATCTTAACTGGACGCTTAAATTAAGGAAATAATATTATTAACTTAGTTGTTAAATATAATTAATTAAATCGTGGAAAAACCTGAATTTTGAAAATCTAAACCATCGGGCCTGATTTGTGATTTTGTGAAAGATAATACCTGACCCGTGAACTTTTCCCCAATCTAAAATGGTTGCCAAATTTGAAAGCTGCCTCTGATGTCCTGTTTTTTAGTTTGGGCTGAAATCCACCCGAGAAACTACTGGGCTTTGGCTGTAAGGTCCATGGGCTCATGTGAGGCCTACCTCTTTCTCGACAGAGGCCCAATACCTTTTTCAAATGCAAAAAAAGAGCTAAATTGCTTTTCATTTATAAGAATAAGTTTATAATTTTTATTTTTTTGAAAAACGTGTGATTTATAGATTCATGTAAAAAAATATTATCTTATTGAAAGAATGTATGGGTGAAAATAAATTTTAAAAAATTGGGTCAAACATGAGATTAATTTTATATAATTATTTTTTATATTTCGGTCCGCTCGTAAACCCAAAAATCATAGCAACACAACTTGCCTAACCATGCCCATCAAGCAATTCGATACTTATCTTGAATCAAAATAGATCGACTCGACCCACTTTGACACGCTAGGAGATTGGTGGGTTTAAAGCCATCTAGAAGTGGTATAAACGCACGTGTTTTTTGTGTGGACGTTGTCTACTATACGAATGGTTGGTTGGTGGAATTTTGTGAAGCTGTGAGCCAACGAAATGGTGGTTGATAGATGTGGCTTCTCTTGCTTCATCATTCTTGGCTTTATTTAAACCACACAAGTAACCTACTTTGCATTACGTTTTCACACACACTCACACTCACACTCACACTCACACTCATAGCTTCCCCTTTTCAATGTTAGCCTTGAAGCAATTAGTTTTACCCACCAATAACAAAATTTTCGACCACGGTTAAAAGTCATTGATTTAATAACAAAAATTCATCTCTAAAGCCACGTTTTTGTAGTGTGTAAAGACTCGAGTCAGTTCATCTGAGTTTCTAAAAAAATAAAATACGATAAGACATTATAGATAACCTAATAAAATCACAAAACAACATCGTTATAGTAGTGTTTGTTTGATTAATTTTATAACTAATCTCTTACTTTAGACACGAATCTTCTAATCTTGTTGAACTAATATGTTCGAGTACCTTTGCTAATTCAACAATGTTACGATCCATACACTAATGTTGTATCATATACGCTTGAAACCGTAATGGTGTTAGGTTATAACTTAGAAGTTAGCGGTTAATTTTAGTACATTTGAACGCACTTCTCTTTATTCAGCTACCATTATGCAGTAAATTGGTATGCACATTATAAAAAGTTGAAGACAAGATTGAAATTAATAAATTGTTCATATCTTAATGAAATAGTTAACACGCTATCGAAGTCCGATCTATCTTCACATCTCATCACCAACTAACCTCGTTTTCGTGTCAGGCTTTTGTTATTCTCGAGTACTTACTACATATATCATTAATGATCCCACTATGACTTTGATTTATGTACCTACCTACCTATTATCTAACAGTCTGGACAAACAAAATGACAAGGAAAATACTTTCCTCTTTAAAATCAAGGAAACTAGCATCCACACCACACTCAGTCAAAAAATTCCATTGCATTGACAGTGTTGTACCCTGCAGAAAAGTATGGCAGAAGAAGTAGATAATAAACAAATAATATTCAGAGGGTACATAGAGGGAAATCCAAGAGAAACAGACATGGAATTTAAGGTTGGGGAGAAGATGAAAATGGAAGCTCCTAAAGGTTCTGGTGCAATGCTGGTTAAGAATCTCTATCTGTCTTGTGATCCTTATATGCGTGGAAGAATGAGGAATTTTCATGGCTCTTATATCCCTCCTTTCGCCCCTGGTTCTGTAATGTTCTTTACTTTTCTCACAGTTCAATCTTTACTCGTTTGTTTTGATGTTGCATGTTGTTGTTACAAATGTTTGAGAATATTTTGTTCATTAAATCCTTGCACGGTCCACAATTTTTAATGATGGATTGTGATAAGACTTGAACATAGGATTCTGATATCATGTTGAACCACTTGATCTAAAAGTTTAAAATGTTATTTTAAACATCTTTATCTCCCGAGCCAGATCAAATTGGAGAAAACCGGGATATATAACTTGAAACTTCTTGCTAGCTTCTTGTAGCCTTGAACCTATTTTATAAGTTTGTGTGTAACACACTGGATTTTGTTTATTGTTTTGAACTAGACTGGCTCATTTCTAATGCCACGTTGAACCACCCTATCTAAAAGTTCGAGCATTTGTTATTCTTTAACACGAATGTCAATAAAGTTACAAAGAAATGAAAGGTTACTGGATTTTCTTTATCTTGTGATCTATTAAAACACGGGATTCCCGACCTCCCACCTACCATCAATTTATCGGGACCAACATTCTGTTTTGAAGAACGGAATCTTCGTTGGCTTGATTATATTTGTATTGCTGCTAATGCTGTTCTGCATTCACTGCTTATTTTCTGTGTTACTGATTTTGAAAAGGTGATTGAAGGATTTGGGGTGTCCAAAGTTTTGGATTCTGATAACCCAAAATTCAAGCCAGGCGATATAATCTCAGGATTTACAGGCTGGGAAGAATATAGTTTGATTCATAAAGCTGACCAATTGAGAAAAGTTGTGGCAGATGATATCCCTCTCTCATATCATATTGGCCTCCTTGGTATGTTAATCTTGACTTTGTTTTGAATCTTACATATTCGAGCCTAGAGACTTCATGCTGTATCCTTCTGACAAATTTTCCTTATCTATCGACAGGCTCGAGAATATGTCTCCAATAGAATGCATTTTCGTTCATATAGAAGTAATATTCCAATTTTATAAGAACCAAAGAACACAACTTCTTGATTAGCATTTACTTTGGGTTTCATGAGTCCGCATACAACAATAAACTAAACCTTGATGGCCAAAAATTTAGAATCGACTGCATGAATCTTTTTTTATTGAACTTACATGGCTCCTATTAACGAGAGTCTCTTCAACGCAAAACATGTCCCAACCGCACATTTCATCAGTCGCCATAAATATGTTTTAATTATTTGAGTAACAATTTTTTCACAGGCATGCCAGGCTTTACAGCTTATGTAGGATTCTATGAGATATGCAAACCTAAGAAAGGGGACTATGTATTTGTGTCTGCTGCCTCTGGTGCTGTTGGTCAGCTTGTAGGCCAACTTGCTAAATTACATGGATGCTATGTTGTTGGAAGTGCTGGAACAAATCAGAAAGTGAGTTTCTTTTGGAAGATTCAAGAAATATAAATATTTCATACATTTTTATGCACTCGTCTTGTGCATGTTTGATATGGAATACTGAATAGGACTTGAAAGTATTGTAAACAAGATTTTAGTTTATGTCTTATTTAATACTGCCCAGTGCTTGTGTAATGTGTGATTGTTCTATTCAATTACTGATTCAGGTTGATTTGCTGAAGAACAAGCTCGGATTTGACGAAGCTTTTAACTATAAAGAAGAAGCAGACTTCGACACAGCTCTTAAAAGGTCAGATGAACTGTAATATAATATGCTTTGCAGGGAGAAGTAGATAGCACCAAGAAGAAACAAATTAAAAATCTTATTTACTATAGTGTTCAATCTTGTCGGTATTTCATACCATACATGTACTTAAAGGAAGAATAATGTGAATATAATTAACAAGTTTCATTACATATTGAAGCAGGATCTGGATAATATTTTCTGATTTCATTCTCTCATATATTGTTGGAACAGGAACTTTACAAATGGCATCGACATATACTTCGATAACGTCGGTGGATCCATGCTCGACGCAGTACTCCTCAACATGAGGGATCATGGCAGAATTGCTGTTTGTGGGATGGTTTCTCAACAGAACCTGTCTCAACCACAAGGGATTCACAATTTGTTCAATCTTGTAATCAAAAGAATAACAATGCAGGGGTTTTTGCAGAGTGATTACTTACACTTATTTCCACAGTTTTTGGAAAATGTTGTGAGATTTTATAAGCAAGGGAAGATAGTATACTTAGAGCATGTGAATGAAGGATTGGAAAGTGGTCCTGTTGCTCTCGCTGGACTGTTTTCAGGGAAAAACGTAGGTAAACAGGTGATTTGTGTAGCCAGAGAATAATGTGTTTCTGATTCTCTCTTAAAAACCGAACGGAATGGCAAAAAAAGATTCAGGTGGCTGACGCTTGAACCTTATGGCGCTCTCCTCGGAGGTGTCTACTATAAATATGACAATCCCCGTTGTATTCGAATATGCATATTTCTCTTCCTTAATAATGTCAAGTCATGTCCAATTCAACTCAATGTGACAAATATACCCTTATACAAGAATACAAGAAAGCTTAGATTGCTCAAAGCAACGAAAAACAAGTATCAAGTTCAATGTAACAAACTTAATACAATGTAAGGGAGTGTCCCAGCTCCTTTTAACGCGTTTTTCAATGTAGTCCCGAGCTCTAAAACATATATGGGTTGGCTACGGGCGGCACCCTACTGGTGCAGTGCCTTTTAGCCAAACAAAAACGCTGCAAGAATTCGAAGAAGAAGAGTTGATTAACAATCTTGAGTAAAAAACAATAATCTGGTATGTATGAAATCATAATGCTGTAATGCAAAGTTTCAAAATAAGTAACTTACTGATTTTACACTTTGATCATCAAATGAATTATTTATTTTATCATGCTGAGGAGAAAACAAAAAATTCAGGCCCCGCATAGACCCAACAGATTTCTTTTGATTTTTTACGTTTTCAGTTAACTAACTCGAAGAATAAAAAGGAATAATTAAGTTGATTGACCTAATCTCACGGTCCATCGCCGCTGCATCATTTCCTCAACCTCTCCACCAACCACATTTTCCCATCTATCAACTCCATTTCCTCCTAACAAAAGCCTTTAAAGAAAAATAAATAAAGATCTATAAATTTTCTTCAAAACCAATAGTAGCGACAGCGACAAAGGCTCCCCCACCATATAACTTTTGGATGTAGGCGTTGAAATGAAAATTTTGGTGCCAAATAAGTTAAGGGGAGTGTTATCAATTGAGATTGTGATGGATCTTAAAAATCCTTCTAAATTTAAGTATTTTCAATTGAAATTTTAATGGATTTTAATAAAATTCATTAAACTTTGGGCGTCTCCAATTGAAATCTTAATGAAATCCTTCAAAATTTAGATATCCTCGATAACTAGTAGATTTATGAAGATTTTATTAATGAATGGATTTTAAAAGATTTGGATAGATTTCGAGCTTGAAAATACATATAACCATATCTTTTGAAATTTTACCATATTTGGGGTGTGTTTGATCCACATTATTTTGGAAGAATGTATTCTGGAATAATAGATTGATGGAGAATTTGTGGTTGAAAAAGAAGAAAAAGTTACTGATGTAATGAAAAATATTATTTTATTGAAGAATGCGTGGTTGAAAATGAGTAGAAGAATGAGAATGAAAATTTTAATGTGTACCAAACAGGAGCTTAATGAAATTCTTATGAAATTTGTGGAAATTTATTCAAATCCACAAAATTCATTAAGATTTATAATCTTTTAAAATCCACCGAAATTTTAATTGAGAACACCCCGTAAAGGTTTTGTTGATTATAAAGTCATTAGAGATTCTACAATTCAATTTCAGATTTTCTTATGCTTGAATTTTTTTATCTTGAAGATTATAGGGATTGGAGCAGGTTGGGAAAGAAATGTAAAATTTATTAGTTGTATGATTTTGTGGGATGAATTTATGGGCAAGATGGAAATTTGCTTAATTTTTTAGAGGTGGTGCCGTGGTGGAGGAGGAGGAGAAAGAAAGGAGTATTTTTTTTTTTTTTT